TCAGCCTTGGGCAGGTTCACATCCACTTCTGGGCCCTCTCCTTTGAAGCCAGGCATGCCGAACTTGGGCATTTTTATCTTGGGCATCTTCAAGTGCCAGTCTGGACCACGAACATCCACATCTGGGGCATCAATGTCCACTTTGGGGCCTTTGATGTCAACTTCCGGGCCCTTTAAGTCACCTTCCACCTTAGGTAAGGAAACATCCACATCTCCTTTCACCTTGGGACCTTTCAGGTGCAAATCGATATCAGGCATGGAGATCTTGGGGGCTTTGATGTTCATCTCAGGCATCTTGAACTTAGGTCCTTTCAACTTCCCCTCTGGTCCTTCAATGTTAACATTAGGTCCTTCAATGTCCACCTTGGGTCCCGAGATGTCAATGTCAGCCTTGGGCAAATTCACATCTACATCTGGGCCCTCTCCTTTGAAGCCGGGCATGCTGAACTTGGGCATTTTCACCTTGGGCATCTTCAGGTGCCAGTCTGGGCCATGAACATCCACATCTGGAACATCAATGTCCACTTTGGGGCCTTTCAGGTCTACTTCAGGGCCTTTCAGATCCCCTTCAACCTTGGGAAGTGAAACATCCACATCACCCTTCACCATGGGACCCTTCAGGTTTAAATCAATATCTGGCATTGACATTTTGGGGCTCTTCAGGTGCATCTCTGGCATCTTAAATTTGGGCCCCTTTAATTTTCCTTCTGGGCCTTCAATGTTAATATCAGTAGTGTCAATGTCCAATTTGGGGCCCTTGATATCTATTTCAGGGCCTTTTAGGTCACCTTCCACTTTTGGCAAAGACTCATCCACATCACCCTTCAATTTTGGTCCCTTCAGGCTTAGATCAATGTCAGGCATGGAGATCTTGGGAGCTTTTATGTTCATCTCAGGCATCTTGAACTTGGGGCCCTTCAGTTTTGCATCTGGACCTTCAATATTCACATCTGGAACATCAATGTCTACTTTAGGGCCAGAAATGTCAATGTCAGCTTTAGGGAGGGTCGCATCCACTTCTGGGCCCTCTCCTTTAAAGCCAGGCATGCTGAACTTGGGCATTTTCACTTTGGGCATCTTCAGGTGCCAGTCTGGACCATGAACATCCACATCTGGGACATGAATGTCCATTTTGGGGCCTTTGATATCAACCTCAGGCCCTCTCAAATCCCCTTCAACTTTGGGCAGAGAAACATCCACATCACCTTTCACCTTGGGTCCCTTCAGGTTTAAGTCAATGTCAGGCACGGAGATCTTGGGAGCTTTGATATTCAAGTCAGGCATCTTGAACTTGGGACCTTTTAAGCTTCCCTCTGGACCTTCCACATTGATTTCTGGGCCCTCAATGTTCATACTGGGACTCTCTATGTTGATATCTCCTTTTGGCAGATCCACTGCCATATCTGGCCCTTCTGCTTTTAAGCTAGGCACACTGAACTTGGGCAGTTTCATCTTGGGCATTTTCAGATTCCAGTCTGGACCATGAACATCCACATCTGGTGCATCAAGATGGACTTCTGGTCCCTTAATATCCACTTTGGGGCCTTTAAAGTCACCTTCTAAATTAGGACCTGCAACATCTAAGTCGCCTTTGACTTTAGGACCTTTCAGATTTAACTCCACATCAGGCATAGAAACTTTGGGAGATGAAATACTCAGGAAAGGCATTCTGAACTTGGATCCTTTCACTTTTCCTTGTACCTCAACATCAGGAGCATTAATATCAACTTTTGGACCAGATACATCAATATCTGGCTTTTTAACTTTGACATCCACTTCAGGTGTCTGAACTTTGGAGCCTGAAAAATTAAATCTGGGAAGCTTAAAACGAGACTTCTTTGACTTCCCTTCAATGTTGAGCTTAGGACCAGAAATGTCCACTTCTGGAACTTTTACATCCAATTTGGGAGCTTTAATGTCACCTTCTAATTTGGGCCCAGAGACGTCAACATCTCCCTTCAGCTTAGAGCCTTTCAAATTCAGGTCAATTTCTGGCATGGAGATCTTGGGTATGTTTACATGCATGTCTGGCATCTTCAGTTTTGGACCTTTTAATTTGCCTTCTGGGCCATGAATGTCAATATCTGGAGCATCTACATCCACTTTTGGGCCCTTTATGTCAAGAGTAGGTCCTTTCAAATCACCTTCTACATTTGGAAGTGAAACATCCACCTCTCCTTTCATTTTAGGGCCTTTAAGATTAAGGTCCAAATCTGGCATTGATATCTTAGGAGCCTTGATGTTCATCTCTGGCATCTTCAACTTGGGGCCCTTTAGTTTTGCATCTGGGCCTTCAATATTCGCATCTGGAACATCAATGTCCACCTTGGGCCCTGAAACATCAATATCAGCCTTGGGCAGGTTCACATCCACTTCTGG